GTCTGGTAATATTGAAGTTGCTCTTGACTATCTATCTGAAGCTGTGCAATTGTTTGCTCAAGTCTTTGGGCCACCACATGTCAACATAGCAAACTGTTATAAGTGAGTGGTGTCATTCAAGTACTTATATATTCCATTGTATTATTATATATAGAGTTATTGCACGAATTCATCATGCTCTAGGAGACAGTAAACTAGTAAGTGGTGCATGTAACTACATGTATGTGCATGCCATGTACATGTTAATGTATCGACTGGTTGTGTATGTAGTTTAGTTTAAATGACTGATACCGAGTTAAGATGTTATGCATGTTCTAAAGTCTATTCACTTTCACCTGATCCCTGGTTGTTATCAATTAATAATAGAAGCTGAATTTGATTTGGCTGTTCTAGCTGCGTAATTTTGGTCAAGGTATGTCATTGAGTTTATAGAAGGACATCCAAAAAAGGCTAAGGCCTTGTCATTTTGATCCGTTCCTTATTTCTAAGGAAGAGATGGACCTAGCAATTCTAATGGCACAAACAAAATTTCTAAATTCCTGGACCATCAAAAGTTATTACAAACAAGCGTAACAGTGTAAAGTATTACTATAATTGATTTCACCACCTTGCATGTACAGCTGGGTTTTTATTCAAACTTAAAGAGGTTCTCTACCTTCTAATCCTTCAAGAAAGGTCGTGAGACTGTACATATGTTCTTTTGCTTAAGAACTTATAACTTTGTCCTATGTGTATGCCACCATTTTGTTTGCTCTGACTACTTAAAGGAGCGTGGGAGGGTGTTTGCTAAGGCTTATGAATTTTCTTATTTCTCCAATACAACATGTATAGAAGAAATGTAAGTGTGGACATACAAATATACAAGCATCGCATGTGGGTGAAATCAAATAAACATGTAGGAACGACCAGGGGACTACACCCCCAGGTCGTTAAAAATCACTAAGTCAAATGAAACTCAACAGACTTTAGTTTAAAACACTTTAAAACTTTATTAATATTTTAATTTCTTTACAAGGTAGCAATTAATTATTTACTCAATTGAAATTTAATTTTAAATTGACTTGCTACATTTTATCTCTCTCTTTTTTCATCTTCAGGCAATATCATATCAGCACAAAACTGTCATTATGTATGAGAGACTGCTAGGAGTGGACCACTGCAGCTCTATATCAGCCTATGTTAGTTATTAATGACTGGCCACACACACAATATTTATTATAAATTTATCGCACTATTAGTTCCCCACAAAGCATGCTAAGTTAGCTAAAAGGCATGCTTTAAGAGCTGACAAGCCTTGAAATTCATAAAAAATCCAAATTTGATCAGAATGAGCTCAAACTTTGATACATCATTAGGACATGTATATGTATCAGAAACATGTCTCTTTGAGCAATTTTTGGCAAAATTTGGTCAAAAACCAAATTCTTTGGTATTGGCCCCTTTTTTAGCAAAATTTAAAAATTAATGAAAATCTGATTTTGATCAGAATGAGCTTCAACTTTCTGTACAACATATGGACATGTGATCAGAAAATTATAAACACAGAGAATTTTCTCCTAAGTTGTTTTTGGCAAATTCTCGCCAAATACCATGTACCATGTCTTTGATCCAATTTTAAAGCAAGTTTTAAAATTTATAAAAATCCAAATTTTGATTACAGTCTGCTTAAAATTTTTACACAGTATTAGAACTTCTATATGTATCACAAAGTTTAATAAAAATTTTACCTTTTCAATGTTTCATTAAATTTTGGGAAAATACATTGTGATATATTTTATCAACATTTGGAACAACTTTAAAAATTCACTGAGAGCATTATGTCAATATCCTGTGGGAAACCATGATCATGATAATTTCAACGACTAAGCCCACCACTGATTTTTTTCTTTATATAGTTCCATTTGGCTTAGTATTGGTGCGGGGCTTAGAGGAATGTTGTGGCGTTGAGATTATTGTATAGAGTTAGGTATCTAATAATGTTAAGACATGGTGAGGATCATCCTGAAATGTCTAATGTTGATGTAAGTATTGTTTTATCAAGTTCTCTTGTTTCATCATACACATGTACATGTATTGTTTAAAAGTATTGTAAATTTTGTATCATAACTGTTATTATTTATTTTAATTTCATTGAGTAGTTTTACATTGGTTTACTACTGAGTAATGCTGGTCATTATGAAGAAAGTCAGGCATATCTGGAAAGTGCTCTTAGATTACAAAACAAGTGAGCTAGTATATACAATTCAAGAGAATTAAGGCGGGCTATGTTTGTCCTTGTATCTGTTCATTAGGTTTCATGGAAGTCAATCAATTACTATAGCCACAATGTTAGTAATGATAAGATACATGTACATGTACATCTTATCTTATCCTTTTCTCCTTGTTTTGCCTCCTCCTTCCCTTCCCCCTCTCTCTTTCCCTCTCTCTCCATCCCTCTTTCTCTACTTCCCTCCCTCTCTTCTCTAGTCATCATCTTCTTGCCAACTCATTGACTCACATTGGAGCATTTGCTGAAGCTAAGCAAAATAAGAGAAAAGCATACAATATCTATAGGACTGAAGTATGCAGTAATGTTAATACCAGGCCATCTAGGTTACTTAACTGTTTTCTCTCACATTTAGTTTGGCCCAGATCATGCATGTACTGTTCAGTCTTATAAAAAACGTGAGGTATATCACTGAAAAGCAAGTCTCTTATGACCAGACTGTAAGTGTAGTTGGCTAACTATTGCCAATGGTTAATTAAAGTTTTTTACCAAAATTATCTTGTTCATATGTTGTCTTCATAAATTATAAATAATTATTGTTTGGAGAAAGAAAAATTTAATAGCAATGCCAAGTGTAACTACTGGTAAACATCCAAATTCACACATGATGCGAATATCAGTAGCCTGAGCTAATTATTATAAACACTTGATCTTTGTATATAGTTACACATACTACTGTATCAGATATTACAGGTACCAATATTGCACACTCAGAAATTTATGTTAATGCCGTCACCATAGTATGAAATTAATGTGGTAGAAATTTAGGTTTCAAAATTTTGTGATCTAATTTTTACGTAGTAAAATTATTGAATATGGCATGTAATTTTATGTGTGATATAAATTAAAGGACAAAGCTGACTATGGCATGGTACAGCTTTCAGCTGTGCAATGCTTTTGCAGATACAGGTCAGCTTGATTTTATTGTATAATTGTTTTCCCTCCACTCACGCCCTTAAGTGTACATGTCCTACATCTTTTACCTTGCATGTGTATGCAATGCACCCTAATGCTCAAAATGAATAAATGAATCAATCCAACAAGTCATACAAGGCTTGCCTAAGCTGTGACTTAATTATCACATGCATTCCATGGTGTCTACATGTACACATTTAATATGCGTTTAAGTGAAACTTTGAATCCATCATTTTCTAATAATTATAATTTTGATGAAATTTATCTCATTTAGCCTGAAATAAATTTTGCTGTTCATTCACACTATGACACTCAGTTTATGTTAGTGGCATGCACTTGCACTGACACTATATACAATACTTCTCACTTTATTCAACACTATTATGACAATATTTACTGACACAGGCTTGCATTTGCAACTTGCATGAATAAATTGATCATTCTAGAGCCTTTTCTAATAGTAATCAATTTATTTGCTGTCGCTACTCATACTGGTAAATCCTATCAGTATTAGCCTATCTTTAATATTCTTGTACATGTACATAGTTAACTTTGAAATAGCCTACATGTCAGTCGATTTTAACTAAAATTTACATTTATTATTACCATACACATTATATGGCGACATATTTTGGTGGAAATGAGTTGTTCTGAGTCTACTCTAATTTGAACATGTACACTTATGCTCCTCCCTTATCTACTGTAGGTTGCCTAAATTTCCTTGCCAGTTTTTTGAATGTTACATCATCTAATCGTTTAGCAGTGCAGAGTCATCATTAACTGTGAGTTAGTAGTAACTAGTAATGATTAAAGTATGCATGTACATTTATAGATTCTGCTTGTACATGTACAAGATTGTTAGTTATTTTCAGTTTTAATAACAGTCCTGCCATTCTCACACCTAGCATTTAATACAGTTACTGTAACACAAACATGCAGGTGATACCAGTCGTGGCACACAATATTCTTTAGAGAAATGTTGTAGCAGACAACACTTTGTGATGATTGATATTGATATAGTACATTTTACATTAACGTGGCCTACTCTAATAACTGCCTTTATTTCTCGTTGTTGACTTGTACTTATGATTAATAATTTTTGCTTTTTTTTGTTTTTCTGTATTTTGTAAATGTGGTGGTATGTGTGTGATGTTTGAGAGTACCGTTGTATGTGTGTACTGTAATACCATTGTGTGATTGTGTTGTATGTACCATTGTAATAAAGATGAGTGTTTGGTTACATGTACATGTACATATCTTCTCCTACAGTCCTAGACTTCATATAATCCTTATTGTTCATTAATCTGTTTTATTTCTCTCTTTCTTTTTTGTGTATTTTTGTTCTTTCTGAGTTATGTCCATTTCATTTTTATCAGCTAAAATTAAACTCTCATTTGGTCTTATTTGATGCAAGTAATTATTATGAAATTGGAGCTTTATGTGTTATTCTTTTTCAAAAGCTAGAATGATAAACCAAAGTAGAAGAATGTAAAACATTGAAGGGCTCAGCCCCTGAGCCACTCTATTGTTGTGCTTTATGACCCATCTTACTGCTAGCGAAGTATTTGGACTCAGTTTAGTCTAATCTTGCTGAGCATTTGCTGCAAATAAGCCCAGACTTGCTGATAGCCGCCATTTTAATTCATTGTGACCACACCCACTTTTAATGAAGATTAGGCTACTTAACTTTAGTATTAGTTGGACGACCCTATCCCCGTACAGACAACATCTTTCTCGTCTTAGTGGGCTTTGCTCAAATACGGTAAAAGTAATGTTAATTTTTAAAACCTCAAAGCAAAGTCTTAGGTCTTCCTAAAATCGTGTGCACTGTTACATCTATTATTAATATTTTTATCACAAAAAATTGTTTTCTTAATACTATGCAATTATTAATTCATGTTATATTTAATTTTTAATGTAAATTGCTGTGATAAATCAGATCCGTATTGCGTAGTCATTCTCTGACTGAAAGTGTATACTTGTGAAACAATACACGTTTTATGCAGTCACCACTTCTTTTGCATGAGTTAATTAATGTGTTCAGGCATACATGTACAAGTAGGGCCACTACTGTAGTTAGAGAGTACTCAACGTAAAAATTTGTACTCTTTAATATTTTGTGGCTTTGTTCTAATACATTCATGTAATTTTCATTTTTCAATATTAGTTTACAATTTGCATAGTTTTAGTTCTTGAGCTTTCTGAGACCTTTTGTCAATGACTGCACCAAGATATAGTATATAGTTTATTAGGTTAATTGTAAATTCACTACATTACATAATTAAAAAATGACATTTAGTAACTCTTGTAAGACAGTACAACATATTCTTTGATCAAATTAATATTAATAGTGCTTAAATTGGGTTTATTTTTGTTCTTTTAATTCACAGATTTATCTCAACTATCTGGCAATACGAACTACAAATTTTGTTATTTTAATAGTAACATCAACCTAGTCATAAATAATTGGCTATTGTCTTTACTGCTTTAGGTTTGCGTTTTATTACTTTTTTAGCAGCAAAAATTACTTTTTTAGCATACTTTTTTAGCAGCAGTGAGTGAACAGGGCCGTCCGGGTCACCCATTTAGCGTATGAGTATATGTGTGTTGCAGCTAGTGATAGGGAAGCAGATATGCTGCTTGCCATTGAGCGCTCACATTTACCTCGAGTTGACTTGACACCCAAACACTGATCAATTATGAAACACAACATGCAATATATATTAAGAGATATCATGAATATGCATGAGATGTGATGTCATGAGTTCACTACACGTGTATCTATTGTTACTAGGAGAAGCAACTGATGGTGAGACTAGACCTGTAGGAAGTGGAATGGCTACACGTAATAGTGAGTTCTTTTATGCTAGCAGTAAGTGTATCTATTGTTACTAGGAGAAGCAACTGATGGTGATACTAGAGCTGTAAGAAGAGGAACAGCTACACGTAATAGTAAGTTCTTTACGCTAGCAGTAAGTGTATCTATTGTTACTAGGAGGAGCAACTGATGGTGATACTAGAGCTGTATGAAGAGAAACAGCTACACGTAATAGTAAGTTCTTTTATGCTAGCAGTGAGTAAGTGTATGTCTCGAGTTGTGTAGAATGAGGTATGCAGCTAGTACCAATAGCTCAAAATAATATCAGGGCAAAAGAGAGTGTGTGTGTTTGAGAAAATTGTTACGTTTAAAGTTTAAGCTTACTGAGTAAAAGTTCTATTAATGATTGGCACCACCCATTTTGTGGTACTTGTTTTATCTAGGTAAACTATACTTTGCCATCTCATGAAACTGCAGCAATAGTTGCCCTTTATTTTGCATGATATAGTCTACCCAGGGCGCTTATCTCTTACCTTCATAAATGCTCTCTGTTTTATTTCTGTCTTTTGGTGTGTTTTTCTTGTTCATGTCTTATTCTTATTTGAAAGCTAGTAATGAT